TTCACTATGGTATTTTTATGATATAAAATGTTTAATTTTGCAAGTTGAAATATATGTATCATCTATGGTTGCTTAGTTTTATATCTTGCTTTGAAAACATCCTCACCATTACAATTGTAAAAACATAGTTCTGTTTTTTATTTTTAATGTTTAATTCTTTGATCCATCTGGAAATGTTTTAGATATAAGGATTGAGGTAGGAATCCAATTTAATATTATTCAAACCTTAAACCTCTTATAGTAGTCTATCACTATTTCTGATTTATCTTTTATCAAAGTCTTTATGTATTTCAGTTTATTTCTTGACCTTGTTCTCTTTCATGTTTCTTCTTGACAGAATCAGATTATCTTGCTTATTTAATAAGTCTAATGAAAGCACACTCTCTAATTCTTTTCCCCCCTTTAGTATTTTCCAGCTATTATTTCATGCTCATTTAATCATAATATCTTTAGAATCAATTTGTGTAGTTATTAGAATTAAAATCTTGATTTATTCTGGAAATTATATTAAATTTATAGATCAATTTAGGAGAAATTGATACTTCCTAAAATATCAAGACTTCTTACCATTCCCCAATAGAATGTATCTTTCTATTTGTTAAATTATTTGTTGAGGGTCCTTAAAGTCATTTTAAAATTTTCTTCACATGAATCTGGTACATTTCTTATTCAGTTTATTCCTAGGTAGTTAATGGTTCTAGTTCATATTATAATGGAAATCTCTTCTTCAAATTTATGTTCTATGTGATGTTTGTATATAAAAAAGCTATTAATTATTGTATAATTTCAGATTTGTAATAGTTTCTTAGATTCTTTTGTGCTTTTCCTGGCTATTCAGGACACAATCATCTATAAGTAAATGATCAATTTGGCTCTTCCATTCTGATTTCTCTACCTGTCATTTCTCTTCTCTGAGTGCACTGACACCCTTCTCCATAAAAGAAGGTATTAATGATGTATTGATGATACCTTTTGCCATTTAGAAGTTTAAATCTTTACACAGGAAAATCTGTCATTCTTTTCTTTCATAGCTTCTGGGGTTTCTAACTTGCCTTGGAAGGTATTTCCCACTCCCCCAGTGCTAAAGATACATTCCGTATTTTCTTCTAATATTTTAGAGTTTTCACTTTTACACTTAGATCTTCAGTCCATCTGGAATTTATTTCTATATATTGCATGAGATAAAAAATTAACTTTATTTTTTCCAGATGGTTTGCAGAATTTCCCAACATCATTTATAAAATTGGTCAATCTTTCCTCACTAGTTTGAAATGCCACTTTCATCACATTCTAAATAAGTCAGTTTTCTTTTTAAGCCAGAGCTTAAAAACTAAATGAAATGAATTACAGTAGAGAACAGGGATAGGAAATGGAGGCAAAAAAACAAACATTGATAGAGTTCTACACAAACTATTTAATGTATACAATACAATACAAATGCCATTCATAGCAAAATAGTATAAATATAAATAAGTCACAGCAAATATTCTTATAAAATATTCTAGTAAGAAAGATTCAGAGGATGGACACCCATGAAATGTAAGTGTGCAAGAGTTATTTAAACATTGTTTACAGTTACTCCCATCATATGAATAATTTAAAGCCTCAAAACTATAAACATCCTCAAGCTGCCTAGTTTAACTTCAAATCAGATGTTACTGAGAGAGGATCAGAATGTACATTAAGTAAAAAAACAAAGCTTAAAATTAGAGAAAAAAAAAGTAATGGTCTCTTCTGTTTTTAGATTTCTAGATGGTATGGCTTTTCATTGACATATCTAAGGCTCTAGATGTATGTCAGTGTGTATGTCATACATATATGTAGAATGAAGGTGGAACAGTGGTTCTGTGCAATCCTTTCTCTCTCTTAACAGAAGAGTTAATTAAGAGTCTTGAGATCAACTGCCGAAGATAACAAGAGTCAGTGTGAACTCTGAAACCTTGGTGGAAATCCCAAAATATGTGCACTAAAATGCATGCCTTCCCAAGGCTTTGAAAGATCTATGAAATAACAAGTTAACAATTACTATTATGATACTGAATCCTGATAGTTTTTGGCCACATCCTTTTAGTCTTCAAAAGCCTGAAGTGCTCCTACCCTTCACTTTGTTAGTGGAACTACAACAGAACTAACTGATGCATTTGTGTAACAATCTTCACTTTGGAAGATTAGAAAGAATATTGGCCAACAAAAATTTCCATTTCCTCATGTTATCTGTTCCAGCTTAAATAAAAATTAACAGAGTAGTCAAAAGAGAAAGACAGTTCTCTAATCTTGCAGTGGCAAGTCACGTCCTCTAGGAAGTAAAGAAAGTCCAGAAGATGATCATGAGGCATGTTTCCACACAGCGTCACTGTGTTTTCTCAGAAATGAAATGGTACGTTTTTAGGAAGGACATTCAATTGAGTTCATCAAGCAAGTAATAGCAACAACAGTAATAATAACAACAGTACCAACAACCACAAATAAGCCACTTTGTTCAGTGGTGAGGATATGGATGTTTTGTGTCTGTGAGGGGTTGGTAGAGAGGGATGGCCTGTATTGCATTATAGGAATGATATAAGTCAGTTATGTTGTACAGATAAAGCAGAAGCCGGTCCCAGAATGTCAGCCTCTGGGAAGTAACTGCTGTCCAGGGCACTTTACAGAAAATACTACAAATGTTTTAATAGTTTAGAAAACATCCATAATACTATAAAAGGATGTTTTCAAACATTACAATATTTAGCAAACTACAATAAAAACATGCAATTAACTAAGTTAAGTTTTAAGTTTTCATCAAGGGTCCTAGGCATACAATCTGGACTTAGGTTTTATTTTTCAATAAACTAAATGAATATAGATTATCTTGACTATGAAAAAAGGTCCAAGAGAGTGGCCGTTTTGGCAGTCAGGTTAACAGATGTTTCCCTTAATAGTTTTTCCTGGAAAATCTTGCAGAGCATCTGTCTCTTTTGCCACCACTACTTATTGAGACAGCTTCCCAGGTGGCGCTAGTGGTAAAGAACCTGCCTGCCAACGCAGGAGACAGGAGGTATGGATTCAGTCCCTGGGTCAGGAAGATCCCCTGGAAAAGGAAATGGCAACCCACTCCAGTATTCTTGCCTGTAGAATCACACGGACAGTGGAGCCTGGTGGGCTATAGTACGTAGGGTTGCACAAAGTCGGATATGACTGAAGTGACTTAGCATGCACGTACTTGCTAAGATTGTCTTGGGTGCTCTTTGCTTTCCTGGCAGTGGAGTAAAGCTAGACTTGACTTTCTTTTCCCCAGGCCTTTGGAGGATTGCTAATTACAAAATACTTAAATACTAGAAACTCATTCACTGAGCCAAGCCAAGTCTCAGATTCAAAATCATTTTAAAAATATCTGCACAACAACCATACTTCTTCATACTTGATCTATTTTTAGAGGCCCAATATTTGTTTTGCTGGAACATAAGACAGTCAACATAAAAACAGATCCTGCTAAGTGTCTTTATAAATAGAAGTTATTAGTTTGTGTTCAATTACTAAGCATTTTAAATAACATGCCCTTAAAAGTTATCAAGTTCTTTATATAAATACAATTTCCTGATGTTAACTTTTCATAAAATTATTATGGAAAATTATAAATGTACTCTATTACTTTCATGTGTAATTTTGCAATCATATTGTTAAAATTAAAAACATGAGGAAGAAAAGAAAGAAACAGAAACATTATCAAGCCCCGAAGAAACTATTAACTGAAAAATATTAATTTTTCTGTATAAAAAGTTTGTCTATGCAACTATTAAACAGGTTGAACAGATATCATGTCACACAGATTTATAGATAAAATTCGTCCCAATTGGGTGTCCTTAGGTCATATCCAATGTAAAGTCACACCCTGCCTTATCTTTAATGTCCCTTTCAAATCCTGAGCAGAATAACAAGGTGGAATTATGCTTTGAACCCTAAAGGAACAGTTTTCAAGTTGTTTGCCTTATATAATTACTGCTATAAAGCCAGGTAAGTTTTCACACTGTATCTTTAAAAGCAAAAATCATTTTAAAAGGTTCTGAATCGCCTCCAACTGGAACGTATGGAGGCATATGAAAGGAAAATACAGCTATTTCAGTACTGGGGAAATGCAGTCTTAATGCAGGGAAGAAAAGCGAATTTCCTGATTTCCACACTGCTGTGGCATTTTCTGACCCCCGTCACTCATCAAGGGCTGTCGGTGGAGGGGAGGGCTAATGCAAGCCTCCATCACCACCATCTTCCCAAGACCAAAGGCTGGCTCCAGCCGTGGCACTTCAGAGGCGCTCCCAGGACTGCAAGCAGACACCAGCAACTGTGGTAACATATAAAGGGCCTGAAATACCTTTATTCACTGCTTCAGTGCTTTCTTGCATCAACCCACATAATTCGAGTTGGCAATATAGAAAATGGTAAAGTGGAGTTAAGGGAAATCCTGATGAAGACTGCAAATCGTGTTCAGAGTGGAAATTGTGACTCTGTCAGCATTACCAGTATTTCCTGCTCCACAACCAGTAGATCTGTAACCAAAATGGCTTGCTGTGAATTTTGCAGCACCCAAGCCAAAGCAATAACATTTCCATAAGAGCATATGCACCATGACAGAAGACCACAGCAGCCCAGAAAAATGACTTTCCTGGTAAAGTCCATGCAGCGATGAATAGGGCTCTTGATGCTATGGTAGCTGGGCAGAGATTTTCACTGTTTCCAGCCCACAGTGAGGTAATTTTAAAGGCACTTTCCCCTTCATTTGTTCTACATTCACTGAATGTACATTTTTTGATGTCAGAGGGACACTGCAGAAAAGATCAGATGAGATACTCTGACAATAGAGCCAAAGTTCAAAGATGCTCTATTTTCAGGTAACAGCCGCGACGGTTTGTCTGCATTAAATCTCTTGAGGGCATGTCACTCTAACCCTGTGCACAGCTTTTCAAACAGTTCAAAACAAACAAATCTCTTGGTCGTTGAACAACTCTAACATCTGATACCATCAAAATAACAAGGTGGAATTATGCTTTGAACCCTAAAGGAACAGTTTTCAAGTTGTTTGCCTTATATAATTACTGCTATAAAGCCAGGTAAGTTTTCACACTGTATCTTTAAAAGCAAAAATCATTTTAAAAGGTTCTGAATCGCCTCCAACTGGAACGTATGGAGGCATATGAAAGGAAAATACAGCTATTTCAGTACTGGGGAAATGCAGTCTTAATGCAGGGAAGAAAAGCGAATTTCCTGATTTCCACACTGCTGTGGCATTTTCTGACCCCCGTCACTCATCAAGGGCTGTCGGTGGAGGGGAGGGCTAATGCAAGCCTCCATCACCACCATCTTCCCAAGACCAAAGGCTGGCTCCAGCCGTGGCACTTCAGAGGCGCTCCCAGGACTGCAAGCAGACACCAGCAACTGTGGTAACATATAAAGGGCCTGAAATACCTTTATTCACTGCTTCAGTGCTTTCTTGCATCAACCCACATAATTCGAGTTGGCAATATAGAAAATGGTAAAGTGGAGTTAAGGGAAATCCTGATGAAGACTGCAAATCGTGTTCAGAGTGGAAATTGTGACTCTGTCAGCATTACCAGTATTTCCTGCTCCACAACCAGTAGATCTGTAACCAAAATGGCTTGCTGTGAATTTTGCAGCACCCAAGCCAAAGCAATAACATTTCCATAAGAGCATATGCACCATGACAGAAGACCACAGCAGCCCAGAAAAATGACTTTCCTGGTAAAGTCCATGCAGCGATGAATAGGGCTCTTGATGCTATGGTAGCTGGGCAGAGATTTTCACTGTTTCCAGCCCACAGTGAGGTAATTTTAAAGGCACTTTCCCCTTCATTTGTTCTACATTCACTGAATGTACATTTTTTGATGTCAGAGGGACACTGCAGAAAAGATCAGATGAGATACTCTGACAATAGAGCCAAAGTTCAAAGATGCTCTATTTTCAGGTAACAGCCGCGACGGTTTGTCTGCATTAAATCTCTTGAGGGCATGTCACTCTAACCCTGTGCACAGCTTTTCAAACAGTTCAAAACAAACAAATCTCTTGGTCGTTGAACAACTCTAACATCTGATACCATCACACAAAAGTTGTAGCGAAAGCTACTAATCAAAGTTCTTTTCATTCTGTTGAAAAAAGAAAATTCCTCAGCTTTGGTTTAAGATCACTTTTTATGTTGTTCTTTTGAAAATCATTATACGCCAAGGCTAAAAAAAAAAAAAAGATTCTGTCTGAAAGATGAACCAGAAAGTCAAGCTGTCTAGCTGCACGCTGCTGTCGGAGACTAACTACGGTGTGGGGTGGGAGTCGTCGGAGGTGACCCGCAAGGCCTGTAACGGAACAGCCAAGGCCTCCATGGAACTGCCTGGCCAGGCCCCACGTGAGACCCCACTCGCAGCAGGTACATCCGGGCATCCGTGCTCTCCTTTCAGGCGTTCTGGCCGACTTCGCAAGGAAGCGCGTACGTCCAAGGCCAACACCACCAGGCGGTAGAACTGTAGCACCACCACCAGGAAATTCTTGGCAGCAAAGAACACCAGCATCTGGTTGATCACTTCGAAATAGGTCATGAGTATGAGCCGCACAACAAGGAAGGGACCATCTTGTATGAAGATGCTGATTCCGATGTTCCACAGGTCGGCGCTGTATTGGCAGAAGAATCGGCTGGAGAACCCCCTCGTTGTCATGGACACGGGGCACACGACATTCTGTACTGAAAACACACGACAGGCCAATTAACGCAGGCCTCTGAAATGCATGAGAGAATGGAGTGCGTAAAGGGCCATCAAACACTGGGGCTACGCTAGTTCACGATTGGGAGTGAGCTTGTAGTTTCATTCTGCTGGGCAGGGGCATAGAAACAGCTGAAACCACCCTGCCATTGGACATCCTTCATCATTTTATATTCAAAATGGATCATCTGGTTTAAGTCCAATCAAACACATGAAAGTAAACCAGCCTCTAATTTCTATGCATATAAAAAAAATTCAGCTCACCTTCAAGTCCTCACACTGGGGAAGCACCATTAACTAGCTAGATAGGAAAGAACAGAAGACAGCACCCTCTCTGAAGTCTGCAGCATAGGGAGGCAGCAGGGTGGCAGGGTGCTCTGGGCCTCGGGTCAGGGAGTCTGGCTGCCTCTTCTGGCTTCCTTACTTTCTAACAGCAAGATGCTGGCCAAGTTACTTAGGCTGCCTGGGTCTCAGTTTCCTCCTTTGAAAACTGCAGAACAGTGATACCTTTGAGGAGAGGGGCCCCTATTCCCTGACTCTTTTTGTTTCCATGAGACTAACACCCTGGCAACTCTCCTTTCTCCCTGTCTGTCTTTCCCTTAAGATAATGTATGACTTACCTGGCTGCTAAATTTGGGAGATGAACCAGAGTATACATGGCCAAGATCCTTCTGCATCCTTTCTTTAGTACCTACCTATTTACTGGCTGACTCACTCAGGCCTCTATGTAAATTGTGTTGTGAAAATTCAAGTGCTTCTTCAAATTCAAACTTAAGTCATGTTAAACATATTTCTCTAATGGTGGTGGGTAAAAAGCCCAAATAACTGCCATTGTTATTTTATTTTGTCTAATTCCTTATGGTTTTGTTTCACAGTTTACAAGAAAGACTGGATATAATTACTGATTTTCCAGTTGAACAAAAGGAGGTCCAATCAACAACGCAACCTTTTTTGTTTTAATTTTTTTAATGTAAATTTAATTCAGGGTCAAGGGCAGAAAATAATCCTTTTATAATAATACAGCCTTTCACGTGGAGTTTTCAAACAAAGAATGCCTTCGTCTATTGGAGCCTGCAAATATTATGAAGCTGCTTTGATATGAGTGCACATAATGTACTGTTTGTTGGAAAATACAATAGTGATTTCGTCAGAAGTAACATTTGGTCTTTGTTTTTCAAACAGCTGCATAATATTATCACCCATGAAAGTTTACAAAATTTCTTTCTTAAATAAAAATTTTCTAAGTGAGGCTATAAACCGCAAGATATGGGAGGGTAAGGACGAGCAGAGGGAATGACAAAAGAAAACCCAAGATAAGATCAATAATAGCCTTTCCTAAGATGTTAGGGTCAGGAAGTGTCTCCCAGAGGATCTCCTAAGAATATCATTCAACATCTAAACTGATGGTGCCTAATATTCTGGCAGAGGACACCAGCTGATCAATGGGTATAGAGCACGTGTGTGTGTGTGTGTGTGTGTGTGTATTTATTTGCATACATTTGTTTGCAGTTATTAACTCGTAATTAGGTTCTGAGCATTTCCAGAAAGCTACAGCCATGCTTTCCATCTATTCTGTTGACAGTTTTGTTTTGCAAAAGTGGATGCTAAGGTCTAAAATAACTCTGAAACCTCTGTGCCTATAGGAGTGGACCGAAAAAGGATGCGGAAAAATTAAATATCCTTGTACAAAGATTCATTCTACCCCTGAGGTCATCAGGTAGGGTACCATAAGAGAGGAATCAGACTTGAGGAAAATATAACTATTCAATCCAAGAACTTATTCAGAGTGAAGTGGCATCCAGGAGAATTGCCACATGAAAATTCTAGGGCTCCTAGAATTTATAGGCTCACTCCAGGTCAATGCAGTCCAATAAAACCATCTGTATTAATAAAAAAACACACATTCTATATCTGTGCTGACAAAACAGCCATGTATGACCACTGAACAGGCTAGTGCGACTGAGGAACTGAACTTTTAATTTGATTTAATTTTAATAACTTTAAATAGCCACATGTGACTAGTGGGTACGGTACTGGATAACGTAGCACTAGATCATCAGTATGAAATGCCTGAGAAACAGTTTGCTTCTGGCAAAGTCTTAGGGGGGTTATGTCTTTATTAAAATAAGTCCAGTGGGTGTATAAGACCCATTATTGAGGAAAAAATCCACTTTTCCATGTGGTCCTGAAACTGCTCTTATTCCTTTTGAAGTTCTAATACAAACGTCTGACAAAAGAATGAAAATGATCACTTAAAAATATCATATGCCAGTAACTATGCTAATAAGCACAATCGTTACAAACTACATCTTATTTTTGTCACAACAAGAACACTAACCCTCACTACAACAATCATCAACCCTATTTCATGGATGAAAAATGGACACTCCTAACTAATTTGCAGAAGTGATGGAACAACTGTATGAAATGGACATAAGGCTGTGCTCTTATCTTCTCAGCTATCTCAGGTTCACCAGGGACCCGGAGGGAACGTTCTGGCAGCCCTCCCGAGTTTCAACCCACTTTTCTTCTAAACTGAGCTGGGACTAACACTGAGATATCAAAGTGATTAAAAAAAAAATGATAGTCCTCTCAAATGACTCCTTAGCTTCACTACAGTTTCATAATCAAGAGCTGTTATTTTCTGTTTCTCTGAGCAAACATCAGATACTTACCTGCCAGGTCAAGTGGAAATTGTAGCATGCTCCAGGTCCATATAACAAGGATGGAATAGACCAGGGCAGGACTATTCCTGGAATGTAGACAAGATTTTAAATTGGCAATGAAAAATATGATCACATGCAGAAAAATATTTCCTCTTTTTTCTGCTAGGTTATCACCAAGATATTTGTGAAAAATCCATGCATGATTAAAATGAAATAATGAAAAAGAAGTTTTAAAAAATATGAAACTTAAAACCCAACTTCCACATGTGCCAACATCTATGTGAATCATGGCAAAACCTCTCGGTCCCATATTGCTGTATTTTGTTTTACAGAATCACAGAAGCATTACACGACAAAAGTTAGATATTAACCTGAAAGTTCAGTGGGCTTATTTCAAGAAATTTCAAGGAGAGAAAGTGAAAATTGTCCCAGGTTCCCAAAACTCTAACTTAAAAATCCCTCTCAAAAGGGCTGGATAAGGCTCAACAATTAAGAGATTAGCACGTAAAAGAAACTCCATCCTCAGCTGGAGAAAAAGTGGGAAGATAAATCCAATAATCAAAGATTTACAGTGGACACTAGGATGTAAATCATTTCATTCACAATTGAACATGTTTCAGTTGTGAATCAAGGAATATGATTGTTTCATTCACTGTTGGATTCCCAGTGCCTACAACAGTGCCTGGGAAATAACAGTCACTCAGCAAATATTCATGGAAGGAATTGTTGCATGTACAAAAGGATCCATACCTGGAAAATGTACAGATGTCATAGACCTAGGAGGATGGTCTCAAAGACTAAAGTCAGAAAGAATAGAGGTTACAAAAACATAAAGGATATGAGAGAAGAATCAAAGTCACTCTTTTACAGCAAAAACCCAAAGGAAGTTATCAATTTGAGGTTAGTGGTGTAATAATAGATTTTGTTGCCAACTTCTCTGTCAAGAGGGATTTCCAGAATGGAGAGGGATAGAAAAACATCAGGGAAGAGTAATTGAAACCAAACTCAATGAGGTGATTGTAAGGGATGTTTTTAAATACTCCAAGTATTGAAGTCCTGAAAAATTAGATTTCAAAACTCTGAGAGAATTTGTAAATGAGATTTCTAAGCCATCATTATCTGTCCTGGCAGTTAATGGTGCAGACAAGGTTGGTGACAAAAAAATGAGGTCTTAACTTTCAAAATGAAGCAAAAGTATATCTTGAACTATAAAGGCACATTTACTATTCATCCCTGGTTAGATTACAAAACTGGTTATTTGAAAGATTTCTGAGAGCCTGTATTGAAGAGAACAGTAATTACTAGGAATCACCACAGCTTTCCTGAGAACAAAAGCACTCATCTAAGATTATTTTCTCTCTCTCTCTCTCTCTCTCTCTCCTTTTCTTTAAAAACTGAGTTAGGATTACTAAGCAGGTAATGATATATAAATTAATAATAGACATTTGGATTTAAACAAGGCTCATGAAAAAGCCTCCCATGGTGTTCTTATCAGCAAGATGAAGAAATGTTCTGGGTGTGAGTAGAGTCAGGTGGATTCCTAACTGCGTAAATGACTCCCCAAAGGAAGCTCTCTACCTGGTCGCTGCCGGCTCTGCTTTTGATTCTGTTCCACTTCACATTTCATCCCTGAGTTGGTTGCTGATGCTGATGGAAGGCTTCTCCTATGCACATATGACATTGGAGGTTGGATTGAAAACCAATACCCCAGAAGACACAACCAGGATCCCCAGAGATCTGGACAGGATGCAACTGGATGACCTTCAATAGGATAGAAGAGGTGGCACTTCATAGCAGCCATTCAAAAGGCTCAAGGATTTTCCCTTCCTATTATCTAGTTATGAGTCCAGAGTGTGACATAATTTTTTATTTTCCAAAATCAAATGCAATCATAGATCACTTCCCAATAAGTATAAGTCAAGAATTTTAAATGAAAATGCCTGGGGAATATGGTCTATAATTTTCCCTTTGCAGTGTCAATGTCTATATTTAGCAGACCTTCAATAAGTGCCTGGATTTTTAAATAATCTTACCTGCAGTTTCTGAGCTCATACTATGTGCCAGGGAGTTTTCTAAGTATTTAACTCTGCAGTCACACTTAATCCTCATACCAGCTCAGCAAATGGGTACACTTATGATCCCTATTTGGCCAGTGATTTCAGCATCCACTCTTTTAACCTTTACGTGATAGTATTTCCATGAAGAAAATGGAAAGTTTTAGCCCTGCTCTGTTCTGTAGTGTTCAGAGTATATCTGAAATATTATGTGCGGCCTGCATGTTTTAGGAGGAACATTTAAAATGTCTTTGACCCAAAGGAGAGAGTCTAGGATGTTGAGAGAGCTCAGAGCCATGTTAGACATGGCATAGTTCATGAAACTAAAAACCAGAGACGATTCCTTAAAAACTGAAAGGGTTATCATCTGGAAAATGAATTAAACTTATTTCTTGTGACTTCAGAGAACCAATTCAGGTTCAAAGGATTTTAGCTGCACCTATAAGAATCCAAATTTCATCACAATAGAGGAAAGTACTTTCTTATAACATTAACTCAAAATAGAATGAGTTGCCCCTGGGGTTAGTATATTCTCTATTAGTGAAAATGTTCAAAGAAAGTCTGGACAAAACCTTATTGAGAACATTTTGGAGAGGATTTTGCAAGAGATGTAAAATAGATTTCTCCATAGATGGTCACTTTTGAAGTTTCTTCTCATCTCAGACTTCAATAATTCTACCAAAAACCTCATGTGCAATTTTGTCTGCAAGGCAGCAGAAAGAAATGGTAAGGCATGAACTCTGGTGCTGGGTTGCCAGAATTCAAATATCAGCTCTAACCCTCACGAGAAAGACAGGACGTGGGCCTCCAATCCCAGACTAATCATTTACCAGCCACATGAATATGGACAAATAATTTAACACCTATGTGCCTTAGTTTGGTGGTTTAGTTGCTAAGTCAAGTTGTGTCTGACTATTTGCAACCCCATAGACTGTAACCTGCCAGGCTAATCTGTCCTTGGGATTCTCCAGGCTGAAATACAGGAGTGGGTTGCCATTTCCTTCTCCAAGGGATCTCCTGCTTTAGTTCACCACTTTCAATGACAATAATAATAGCTACTGGATTTTATTTGATAGTTGTGTTACATGTTGTTTGAATATGTTAAACATATAAAAAAATCTCTCAGAACAGAACATGATACAGACTAAGCATGGTTGAGTGCTACAAGTTATATATATATATATATACACACACACATATATATATATATGTATATATATATTACTAGGTAACCTTGAGACTGTCACAACTTCTCTTGACTGCCACTGCTAAGCTTATAAAATCCTGATATTGATAGTCTCTATTTAATGATGAACTATTAGTAGTAGTAATAGTATTTTTATTATGGGAACATACTTCTTAAACACTTTGTGTTTTAATTTCATTATTATACAAAATAGGGATAAATAATAACCTGACTTTGACCCTAAATAAGATTCTAACCCTATGATACTGAATATACATCTTTTGCAAGTATTCTCTGAGCACATGCAATATGGGAGAATGTGGGTATTGACAAATGTATTAGTAAAGCTTTCAAACATAAATATTGAAAAGATGATCAGAAAATCTTTGGAGCAAATTTGCATTATGAATTCAGGCAGTAAAATTTACTCAGGAAGGTTAAACACTTAAATATAATTACATCACTAAGCTTAAATGGCAAACACTCCGAATTTATGAAGGAATTTTGGAATGAATTTATCCAACATTGTCTCTATTGTGTAATTGTCTCCCCCACTTGTCTTGCCCCATTTTCTCATGTGTAATCTATCTTCATAAATGTCAGCTGAGAAGCATGTAAGCAGACAATGGACTCTATTCATAGAGAGACAAAAGATCTTTTGAAGTATAATTATAGATGTGAGTATTACTTCTCTACTTGGAAAACTTAGGAAGATAAAAGACTGACATTTGGTAGATCAGTGAACCAAAACTATTGAGTGAAAAACTAAAAATAACGTCATACACTGCTAGCTTTTTTAATTTTTAAGTTTATTGATTTACAATGTTGTGTTCATTTCTGCTGGACAGAAAAATGACTCAGTTATATATATATATATTTTCTTTTCATATTCCTTTCCATATGGTTTATCCCAGGACATTGAATGTAGTTCCCCATGCTATACAGTAGGACCAGTTGTCTCTCCATTCTATATGCAATAGTTTGCATCTACTGACCCCAGACTCCAACTTCCATCACTTCTCCACCCCACTTCTTGGCAATGATGTTTGTTCTCTATGTTCATGAGTCTGTTTCTGCTTTGTAGGTAGGTTCATTTGTGTCATACTTTAGATTCCACATATAAGTGGTGTCATATGATACGTCTTTTCTGACTTGCTTCATTTAGTATGATAATCTCTAGTTGCATCCATGTTGCTGAAAATGGCATTATTTCATTCATCTTTAATGACTGAGTAATATCCATTGTATACATGTACCACATCTTTTTTATTCATTCAACTGTCAATAGATATTTTGGTCATTTCCCTGTCTTGGCTATTGTAAATAATGCTGCTATGAATGTAGGAGTGCATTGTATCTTTTTGAATTATAATTTTGTCTGGATGTATGCCCAGGAGTGAGATTGCTGGATCATGTTGTGCTGTGCTGTGCTTAGTTACTCAGTCATGTCTGATTCTTTGTGATCCCATGGACTGTTGCCACAAGGCTCCTCTGTCCATGGAGATTCTCCAGGCAGGAATACTGGAGTGGGCTGCCTTCCTCCAGGTTGCTGGATCATAGGGCAATCCTATTTTTAATTTTCTGAGGATCCTCCATACTGTTTTCCATAGTGGCTGTACCAATTTACATTCCCACCACAGGGTAGGAGGGTTTCCTTTTCTCCATACCCTCTCCAGCATTTGTTATTTTAGACTTTTTAATGATGGCCATTCTGACCACTGAGAGATGATACTTCTTTGTAGTTTTGATTTGCATTCTCCAATAAGTAGTGATGCTGAGCATCTTTTCATGTGCCTATTGGCCATCTGTATGTCTTCTTTGGAGAAATGTTTATTTAGGTCTTCTG